GGGTCTGTTTTGCCTGGTAGCTTCACTCTCACAAGCCCTAAATCCCCCTTTTCAGGTTTACATAAATGTTTCATCCTCCCAATACTGGTGCGCTTAGTAAACATTAATCCCTTGTCCTCCAGGGAAGGGCAGGCCTCCCATCTGCTCTCCCGTATCTACAGAGCTTTGCACTCTGTCTTGGGCATGTTTGTTTTTTAATGAGGATGGAGGTTCTTGCAAGCGTAATAGCAGGAGGTCTCTGCAGATGTTGAAGGCGGGGGGGGGGGGGCAGAGGCATTCCAGCGTATTTGCTGCAAAGGCATTCTAGTAAACACATTGAATCTATTAATCCACAATTGTTTGGATAGTACTTGTGGAATAATCCTACCAATACATCACCAGTCCTCTGAAAAAGGAAACTGAAGAGGAGGAGGAGCAGCCACCGTGAAGAGAGTGCCTTTGTAACAATTGCTGTGGTGATCCATAGAAAGAGCAATTATCCATTCATATAATTCCACCTGTTAAAACAAGTTAACCACTTGTTAAAATGCAATGCAGATCTCATCTCACTTGTCATCTAATCAGGGTTTGTAGCGTAGCCAGCCTTTTTTGTTTGGGGAAAAACTTGCTAACACATTTAATACAATGGGTGGGTGGCTAGTTTATATAGAACTAGTACCGGTTGTGAAATGTGACTCAGTTGGCTCTAATCCAGAGACAGAGATAACTCACCCGAAGTGTCTTCTTGTGCAAAGTCCAGCTTCAATTTAAATATTGGCTTCTTTCTGCTTTCAGTGCCCTTTCCGCACCCTGAACTGGAGGAATGTGTTCGCCTCTGTGAGCCAGAGCATAAAATAACAAGATGCTGCAATTAGGCTGGGGGAGACATTTCTTCTGTTTGCATTTTAGTGCAATCTTACCTAATTTCCTACTTTTGAACAAATCTGCAGGATGAAACTCAGATATACTTCAAAATTCACCCTCCTCTGAATTTTGCAAAGTTTTCCAATAAAAATGTGTGCGGAAGTGTGTATATTAAGTGAAATACACAGAAAAATGCATATACATAATTAATGTTTAAAAGTGCAAGTGTCAGAAGAATTGCACTGGATAATGTGTACAGATTGTCATATACACCTCAAAATTCTCCACATTTGGAAATGACCAAACTTAAATCCTGGGAAAATAAGAAACTGAAACTTCCTGGTTCATCTATCCCCTGTTACCTAGGGGATGCTGAAGCTTTAACTCGCCATTTTTCAACTATTCATTTCTATTCTCTGAAGATGTGCCCTGAACAGAGAGAGGGCTCGGGGTAAAGCAAGAAAGAGTAACGCCACACTCATGAGCGATATGATCTGCCACCCTGGGCACAGGTTGCTGGGAAGGGCTTTCTTTGACAGCACCGGTGCCTGAGTAAATCCCCAGCCTGTAGCCACTTCCTGCCCCTGAGGGTAATTGTACTTGGCCCTTGCCTCTGGGTGGAGAAGAGAACCAAGTTTTGTTCCTGCTGGAGACACTGCACCTGAATCTCAATTCAGCCTCTGTTCTGGTTCTTTCCCTTCCTCTAGAGGTTTCTGTATCTAGTTTATAACAGAACTTCCATTATCCAAGCCTTAATTATCTGAAATTATCTCATCTGAATTCACCATATGTCGTTCATGTCAAGGTTGCCTTATTTAACTGTTCCATTTTTATTTAGGATTCTGGATGCCACCCAGTCTAGGTGGATCTGGGAGGCTGTGTTGGCTGCGCTTCCTTACTGGGGCTTGTGAGGGCCATTTCATTCCAGTAGATTTGGAGGGTTCTGCTATGCCTCACATTTGCTGGAGTTCCTCATTTCTCAGTTGTCTCATTGTTAGGCTTCCTGAGGGATTTATCCGTGTGTCTTCCTTCTGTATTCACTTTGTTTCAGTAGCAAACAGATGTCACATTAAGAAATCAAAGTCTACAGCAGATGTCTGGAAAAGGATGTAGACAGAAATGGAGAAATCTGTCAATTTTGATTTTTCTCATTTTTCCAGTCTTAGGTAGGAATGTACGAGAAATTTGTTTCAGTTCATTTTTTATCTAAATTTCCACAGTTTACACATTCTGAAATGAATGCAGACTTGAATGAAATCTGCTGCTGAAAACCATCCATTTCTAAGCTCGCAAGGTGATTCACAGTGCGCAACCCAAATGTGTTTCACAACCAATGTACATCTGACAAAACACAAATGAAACAAAGTACTTCTGAATAAATGTGTACAAAGATGCTTTATGAGGAGAGTGGATACATTTCAAAGATGTACCCACTTGGTGCATACATTTGGGGAACTGTGCCCTGATCTTCATGTGAAAAGAAAAAATAGGTAATGAAGATTGAGATGGAGTTTGGAGAACTTTGATGAGCTCGAGTTTTGCTGATCTTAAATTTGTACTGTCATTTTTCCACTTTAAAAATCTGCACAAAAATCCACAAACATTTTCATAACCATATCTTCTATAACCATGCATTTTTGTATGAATTGCTGTACAATAAAGGTATTTCTAAACTGTCTTACCCTAATATAATTGACTTGTGTCTGTTATGTTCACTAATACACACATTTTATATCTGTTTTTTACTTGGTGACTCATACCACAAAGTTTGGAAGTACGAATTAGATGAGCATATTCAGGAAGTATGAATTAGATGAGCAGACTGAATTAATTTCTTCTCCACTTCTAGATATAAAGAGGAAAGTGACTTTTGAACAGTCAGTTTGGTGAATAATTGTCATTTATTTTGTCATCAGTTGTTGGTTGGTGATTCACACCAAAAATGCACATCCGTACTGCAGTCAATCATGAACATCATTACTTGTGTCACCTTTCTCATGTTTTCCCATGATCAATGTAAAGTAAAGAATATTTATTTACATTGACAACTACATTTGATCAGTTGGAACACATTACCCCTTTGTTGTTCCAGTTTCATTGCCCTCCATTCAGTTTCCAGGCTCAGTTCAAAGTGCTGGTGATTACCTTTGGCATGCAATCCCACAAATATCTACATACAAAAAGAATTCTGCAACTCCCAGTATTCCTCTCATCAGCCATATTGGCTAATGGAGGAGTTTTGATGGAGTTTTCTCTAAACATGCACAGGATTGCTCCCTGAAAGCCCAAAAATATTCAGGATCAGAATATCTAAAGGGCTCTCTCCTCTGAACTTGCTCATCATTGAGAACACCCAGGAAATACTCTTCTGTGCATCCCACCTGTATCTGATGTGCATCTGTTGGCTGCAGGTGAGAGAACCGTTTCTACTGCAGCCAGGCTGTGGACTTCTCTGTCCTAGGGAATCTGTTGGTGCCCGTTTGCCACTTCCATAAGATATTTTTATTCAAGCAAACAATTAATTGGTCTGGTTAACATTTGTTTGGTGATTTGATTTATTTTATTTTAGCTGCTGTTTTGTTTTAATTTAATCTTCTTAGGGTGCACTCCTATTAAGGTGACCGTAAGTCCCTGAACTCAAGCTTATGCTCATCCTGCGTTGGGTAGAAGGAACAGAATTAACAATCTTTGCCTCCCATTCTCTCATTTTCGAGTGGACCTTTTGTCTATCCAGTGAAAGTATTTTTGAGGGAGAGCAAAGGAGGCTGGAGCGATCCCAGGATACCCCATATCTTGGTCTCTCTGGTCTCCTCCCTTCCCTGCCCACTGGGACACTTCCTTTTCCCCCTCCCTTTGTGGCTGCACTCCTGGCCATGGAGAGGTAGCCAGCATGGTTCTTTCCATGTGATGGGGAGTGGAAACATGGTGGATTCTGAGATCCAAGTTTGAACCATTGTCTCTAACCTCAAATCTGGGAATCCAAAGTATCCTATGGCCCCATAGCTGCTCTCTAGGGGCCATAGGAATGCTCCCTCCATGATTTTTTAAACATTGATTTTGATGGTTTAAATACCATTTCATTTCTGACTGTTAATCACCTGGACATTTTCTCCAAATAATAAATACCTGCTTAAACAAAATAAATGCATGTGTATTTTCTAGCACCTTATTCTGCCATTTGTCCTATTACCTTGAAAGTGCCAGTCCTTTCCTAAGTACCTACTTCCTATTCAGCTTTGACCATTCTCTACTGATTCAAATCAACATGTTTTTCTTCTGCTGATTGCAGATGCTTTTGTTTAACATAATTGCACCAACACCACAATCTGCTGGTGGTGGAGCAGATGCTTTGCATTCACGAAGCCCCAGGTTTAATATGTGGCATTTCTAGTTTAAACGGAATGGGAAACCTGTAACCCTCTGGATCCTGATCATTGCCAGAGATGGTGGAGGCTGCTGTCTAACAACATGCAAGGGCTTCAGGCTCACCATCCATGAGTTAAAAGATCTGAGGTTGGAAGACTAAGAAAGTTCTCATCTTGATACTTTAGAGCAGGGGTCTCAAACTCGCGGCCCGCGGGCCAGTTGCCGGGACGGGCAGGGCACGGGGGAGGGGCCCTGCGGCCTTCAAAGTGCTGGCAGCGCCCGGGCCAGATGCGGGATGAGCGGCCCACCACCACCGTGGTGGTGGTGGAATACTTGATGCGGCCCAGCCTCACCCAGACTCTACTTCCAGCGGCCCCCAGGTAAGTTGAGTTTGAGACCCCTGCTTTTAGACCAACCTGAACACAATGGGCTGACTCACATAAAGCACATCTGTATGCTGGAGAATAGCATGAGTGAAGCTTTTGCAAAGTATTGTGTTGAAATGTAGCAAGATTTTTTTTAAAGGATTCTGTGTGTGTGTGTGGGAGTGCTTTCATTATTATTAAAATGGATATGAAGTAAAATGATTTTACAGATGGTGCTGCTTGTCTTACAAAAGTTCTAATGGCTGTGTATGACACTCAGCTTGGTGCTCTTTTCTGGAGAATCCTATAGTTGTGGCAGTGCTTTGCCCTGAAAGAGAAGAGTTGGATAACTTAGCCTGCAATCCTATACTCATTGAACTCAGTGAGGCTTACTTTTGAATAGATGCATGTTGAATTTCACCGTTAATGTCTACAGCAGTCTCTCAAAGCTTCAAATGCTGCAGCAGCAACTGCAAAGACACAGAAGAAGGCCTGAGTTACTTGGATGTTAGCTCCCTTATTTCTCTCTTTTTCTCCACAGCTCCTGCACAAGCTCAGATCATTCATGCTGGGCAAGCATGTGTGGTAAAGGAAGATAACATCAGTGAACGAGTGTACACTATCCGTGAGGGCGATATCCTTGTTCTGCAGTGCTTGGTTACGGGACATCCGCGACCACAGGTAACTTTTTGGTCCTTACTGCATCCCTAGTCACTTCCCTCTTTATCGGCGTATCAGCATCCCTCACTGATCAGCGGAAGGCTTTCAGGCATAGCTACTGTCCTGGTTAAATGAAATGCTTTGCTGCTGTAAGTATCTTGCTGGCAGTATTGGGTCCTGCAGCGTTTCATCTACAGAGCAGGCTGAATGCCTGCCCTACTTTATGGAAGCTGCGCTTACCTCTTCTCCATTTTTTGGATACTCCAGTTGTATTAATGTGGAATGTCCTAGTGCAGAGACTTGGCCATGCAGAGTCTCATCAGCTCATTTCCCAGAGTGACCATCGCACTGCAAAGTCAGCTGCCAGTGGAGGCTGACTTTGAAATGTTGGTGACCTTTACTGAAGTCCCAGGGTAGAAGGGCGAGAGACGTTCCTCACTGAGAGGATGAAGTGTACAGACAAAACTCTCCATTCAGGAACACCATTGCTAAAAGCCAGACTCTCCTGCCTAAATAGTCCCTGGAGAGGTTGATAGGATGTGGGCAGAGGCCTCCAAAGAAAAATGTACATTCGGAGCCTTAGAGTGGCACAGCTCTGCTCTCCTCTTGGACTCTTTCATAGCCTTACTAGTCATGGAAGCTGCAGCCTTGCAGCCATCGAGTCATCCTCTGTAGCGATTCACAGTGATTACAACATTTGCAAAGGGGACACGGGGCATGACAAATGTGCAAGGACCATCTGGTTCAAGAGTCCAAGCTGAATGCTGTTCATCTAGCAAGTATGCATCTCCATCATCGTACGGTGACCATGGGCCTGCCCTGTCCTTAGGGGGAGTGAGGCAGCCACCACACCTGGTGGGAAGTAGAGGTGAAGCAACCAGGATATCATGTGAATTTGCTCCCCTGTAACAAATGTGGTGCAGTCATGTCCAAGGACACATCCAAAGTTTGCATGGGTATTAGTCGGTCCTTCACAGCCAGCAAGATGATGGGAAATTGACATATTCTCCATATATTTTTCAAGCAAGCATGTCCAATTTTCAAAAATTAAAAAGAGAATTTTTGAAAAAGACAGAATGAAACTCCATAGTCCTTGAATATATGCACCCCCTTCAGCTCCAACACCCCATTTAGCCTGGGGATCAGCAGCCCGGTTTCTTCCACATGTTTGGAACATCAACTCCTATAAGCCCTTGTCAGTAGTAATGGATTTGTTATAGGAAACTGGAAACACAGGAAAGTGGAATGTTTAGAAGGCACCTTTGTACATTCATAATATGATGCATGAGGAATATAGATGGAGCATTTGTGTTCACATGTAGTGGAATAGCCCTTCTGCATGTGACATTTGGATATATGCACAGACATAGTATGTATCCCACCATTCCTTCGCTTTTGCCATTTTTAAAAAAAATTCCCCTTCTATCCATTTCTTCCTTGGGTTTTCTCAGTACCAGTCTGTGGGCAGCGTTATAATTTGCATACATTTAAATTAATTAACATATGTGGATGTCCAGTAGGGCAGCAAACTGATACATTTGTTCTGTCCAACTTCTTCTTTTTCAGATCAGAGCTTTGGCTCTTAACCTTTGTTTAATCCCCTCCCATCTCTTT